TATATCTATAATATATAAATATTATTTTTGTTTTTTGTTGGAACCAGGGCTTGAACTCAGGACCTTGTGCTTACAAGGCAGGCACATGCCATTGAGCTAAATCCTTGGCCAAGAACAGTTTTAATAGAATAGCTTTATTTTTCAATTAGTTTTCCACAGAACAACTCATCCTCATTATATTGTATGAGATATTTGTGTGGATTTGTATCTTTTATTGGAATGTAAGCTTCAAGAGGCCAGAGGACTTACTCTGCTTCATTTGCTGTTGTTGTTTTAAAGCTCAGAGCAAAGCTTGACATGAATCATTGCCCAAAAGATTTTGTTGAATTACAAAAAACAAACAAGGGCTAGGGATTTAGCTCAGCGGTTCAGTGGCCTGCCTTGCAAGGGCAAGGACCCAAGTTCAATCCCCGGTACCAAAACAAAACAAAACAAATAAACAAGCAAAAACCCTGGAAAAAATTGTTACAAGGTCAAAAAGTAAAAATTAAGAATCCCTATACATATCTCCATCTAATTCTACTCCCCTAAGATTACCATTATAACATGTTTACATGAAATATTAATCCTAGAAAAATCTGTCTTGTTTATTTCTATATATTCCATATAGAGCCCAGTGCCTGACATGGCTAAAACTGCACTTCACAAAAATATTTGAAATATTTATTGGATGAGTTATGAGTAGCTTTTGGATTTGGGTGTGGAAGCTAGAAAAAAAGAAGAAGAAGAAGAAGAACCAAGAGTCTATTCTTCCAAGCAAGTTAAGGTCAGTTCCTCCCATTAGGCATTTATTTATACATTTTGAGTACCTAGGGGCTGCCTGGAATAGTCTACTATTTATTGAGCACTTACACAATGCTTCAACTATAACTGTGGAAAGGAGTTTGACTTCCCAGACAGCTACACTACTTCTGACTTCCTCGAATAGAACTCCTTGCCCTATTAAACTGGCCCAATGCCTTCCTCCCAAAGCACTCTGGCCCCAGAGTAGAATTCCATCCCCAGGTTCCCGCTGGGGCTCTTGGCCACTCGCTAGGTCACAGGAGGAGCCCCTCCCACAGGCCAATGCACACAGACGCACAATCATGCTCATCCGGCCTGTCTGGGTGCCACACGACCCAGTTAGGACCTCTGAGATCACCATGTGTCAACACTCCTTTGTGAAGGGCTCTGGGGAATTTGTCCAAGTGCCAGCTTCTCTGTGGAAATGGCAGGCAGACCACAAGTGAGCAGCGCAGTCACACTGAAAATGCAGTAATGGAGCCCTAAACTGGAATGTGGCAATTTACAGCTGTCACACCAAACTCACTAAGCAAAATCACATTTTGTGCCAGACTTCCAAAAACATCATCATATAAAAACTATTTTTACTGCCTTGAAGCATGGTTAAAAGACATTTACGGTAAGTCAGAAAGTCTACTGTGAAATCTGTGTTGAGAAGCATAAATATAGAAAGCAAAGTGGTTGTTTTCTATTTTTCTGCAGAAAATATTTAGTTAACAGTATGTTGATGCACTAAACATAGACGAGTGGCTTAGGAAGAATTCCTTAATAGTTAATAACTTCAGTAAATCAATACTTCTTATAATCGATAAGCTTATGTTTCTTTTCTTTTCTTGTGTGTGTGTGGTACTAGGGATTGAACCCAGAGCCTTTGCACTGAATTACACCCCCAGCACCCTCTCCATCTTTATAAACATTTTATTTTGAGACAGAATCTTGCTAAATAGCCCAGGCTGTGCTTGAACTTATAATCCTCTTGCCTCCGTTTCTTACAGTGTACTAGCAAAACTATGTTTCTAGCCAGGCATGGTGGTGCACGCCTATAATCCTCGAATTTGAGAGCCTGAGGCAGGAGGTTCATCTTGAGTTTGAGGCCAGTATGGGCTACACAGTAAGTCAAGGCCAGCCTGAACTGCACAGCAAGACCCCGTCTCAAAACGAAACTAAAGGGTCAGGGATTTGGCTCAGCTGTTCTGCATCCTGCCTCCAAAGCACAAGGGCCTGAGTTCAATCCCCAGTACCAAAAAAAGTAAATAAAAATAAAAACAAAACCTATATTGCTACACAAAGCATTTCTCTAAAGATTTAAGAGAACTAGTAAAGGCCTAAGGATGTAGCTCAGCGACACTGTGCCTGCCTGGCAAGCACAAGGTCCTGAGTTCAATTCCCAGTACCACAAAGGAAAAAAAAAAAAACAAAAACAAAACAAAACAGTGAAAATCCTTTCCTATTAACTAAAGAACATGGACCAGGATATAGTTCAGTGTTAGAATGCTTATTTAGCATATGCAAGATATTGAGTTTTATCCCCAAATGGGAGTACAGGGAGCCTCACAAATGTATTTCTAAGACTCAGATGAGGGGAACAAGACTCCTACCACTAACCCTGAGAGTGAGCACCTCCCTAAATTTTGTGCTTGAATAAAATAAGATCTCACTTGCCTCACTCTAACCCTGGCTCTGCTTGAAAGGCCAACTGCTATTCTAAGAGCTACTATGTTCATTTTAGAAAATGCAGTTTTAAGAATTGGCACATGTATGAAAGCACATACTATTTATTAATTACAAAGGAGAAAAATGTTTTTCTTGTGATACTGGGGATTGAACCCATGCTAGGCAAGTGCTCTACTACTGAGCTACATCCCCAGCCCTTCTTTGTTTAAGATTTATGCTCCTTAATTAAGCTGCCCAAACTTGGGACCCTCCTGCTTCAGCCTTCTGATTTGGTAGAATTACAGGAGTGTGCCACCACACCCAGGAGAAGGTATCTTTGTAATGGAGAAAACTAGTAGATACCATGTTAACCAAGTGACCAAATGCTGGGACAAAATACCTGACAACTTAAAGGGAAAGTTTATTTCGACTCACAATTTCAGAAGATCCAGTCCACAGTTGGCTGACTCCAAGGTGGAAATGGCATGGTGGAAACTATACCCCTTCTTGGTAACTTCACAAAATAATTAAAAGCATTACAGCACAGCAATATATACATACCCATGTTTATAACGTTACAGTTTGTAACAGCTAAATCTTGGAAACAGCTCAAATTCTCATCACCCACTGAATAGATAAAGAAGGTGTGGATTTTTTAATCCAATGGAGTACTACTCTGCCATAAAGAAGGATGAGCTTCAGACACTCATAGCGAAGTGGGTAGATCTTGAGACCACACTCTTAACTGAAATAAATTGAACACACATGTTTATTTTTTTACCATTAAGTTTATTGGTACATTTAAAGCAAACAATACAGTTACATTTATCATTGGGATCTTGTACCTTTACATGAGAATACCCATGTTTAAATACTGCATTGTTTCTCTGGTGTGAGAAACCAAAAGTAGAAATAAGGACTAAAATGTAAATAGATATTGGGAAATGGGAAGAAAATGTTCAGATGGGAAGAGGAACAAGGGGGGAGGGAGGGAGAAGAAAAAAGTGCAAATCGAAGGAAGAAATAGAAACAAAGCTTTCATACACAGGGAGGGGAGGGGGGTCCAAGGGGGAAAAAGGATAAAATAAAATTTATTTTTAAGAAGACCAAAAAAGGGCCAGGGATTTAGCTCAGTGGTTCCAGTGCCTGCCTTGCAAGTACGAGGACCCGAGTTGGATCCCAAGTATCAAAATAAATAAATAAACCAAAATGGGTGTGGTGGTGCACACCTGTAATCTCAGCACCCAGGAGGCTGAGGTAGGAGGATGGCTTTCAGATTGAGGTTAGCCAGGTTAACCTGGACTATGTAGTGAGTTCCAGGTTCAAGGCCAGCCTGAACAGCGGAACAAAACCTTGTCTCAAAAACAAAAACCTAGGGGGCCAGGATTTAGCTCAGTGGTTCCGCTGCCTGCCTCATGAGGGCAAGAACCTGAGTTCAATCCCCGGTACCAAAAAACAAAAACAAAAAAAAAAACCTAAAAGCAGGAGCTGAGGGTACAGCTCATAGATACAGCATGTGCCCAGTGTGGATGATGCCCTGTATTAGATCATACACACCTTCAAGGACCCACATTCAAGGACTAGTTAGGAAAAAGAGATACATGTACATTCCAATGTATTTATATGGTAAGAAAATAACAAAATATGTATGTTCTTATATATAGGTGTGTGTCTAGGTGTTAGTGCATATGTTATATGCTGAGGTTTTAAAATAATACAGCTCTGGGCCAGGGATTTAGCTCAGTGGCTCTGCCGCCTGCCCTGCAAGCACAAGGACCAGAGTTTGATCCCCGGTACCAAAAATTTAAAATAAAATAATACAGCTCCCCTCCCTGCTTTCTTTTTGTATTTAATTGGGGGTGGAGGGAATTGAGCTTGGCATGAAATGAGCTAGGCCTTCGCTATTGGCTCTCTATTTTTCTTAGCTACTCTCTCTAGCAGGGGGTTAATTCTTTATTTGCAAGAAACCTCACTGAAGCCTTTAATTTCTGCCGCCTGTCCCAACTTCCCCTAGGAAAGGACTATCAGGATCACATTGCTGGTCCTTTCCCTTTGTACAGTGGCTCACACAGGGCTTTGCTGGGGCAACTTCACTCTGCTCTAATTTTTTTTTTTTTTTTTTTTTTTTGGTACCGGGGATCGAACTCAGGTCCTTGCACTTGCAAAGCAGGCGGTGGCGCCACTGAGCTAAATCCCCGGCCCTTCTTGGCCTTCTTGACTCGCTCCTCCTTTGGCCTCGGTGATTCCACCTCAGGTTCTCTTACTTCTCCAGCTGCTCTTTCTCAGCACCCTTCACTGCTTTCCCTGCTTGCCTCGTGAGGTGATCTCTGTGACTGTTCTGTTTTTGACCAACCTCCTATTCCCACAGTTTTGGCTTTAGGCCCTCATTTTTGTTTTCCTGGGGAATAAGCAAATGCATTCTGTATGCTCATCTGGCCTTGAACTACTTTTCTAGCCCCAGCCACACCTCTCTTCTAGTTTTCCAGCCATTCCTACGGGTTAATCCTTTTTTCCTCTCTCCAGTCCTTCTCTTGGTAAGTTCTTCCTACCTCAGCCTTGCCTCATTCTCACTTTCTTCCCTAAATCCTACCCTGCCCCAACATGTATGCCCCTTCCTTCAGCCTTGGAGTCCTTCTTTCCCAGGACTGCCCTGCCTTTTTACACCTCCATGACTTGCTGTTGATGGTGTCTTTCTCCCAGGAATGCTGTTCTCCCCTCTTTGTCCTGTGTGTCCTAATAATCTGTTCAAAATCAACTCAGATGCTGCCAGGGGCGGTGGCCCACATCTGTAGTCCCAGTACTTGGGAGGCTGAGGCAGGAGGGTCACAAGTTCAAGACCAGCCAGACTGCACAGAGAGACCCTGTCTCAAAAAAAAAAAAAAAAAAAAGGCAAAAATTTTAAAAATCAACTCATGTGACTATCTCTTCATTAAACTGTGGGCCGGGGATTGGGCTCAGTGGTTCCACCACTTGCCTCACAATCACAAGGGCCCGAGTTCTATCTCCGGTACAAAAAAAAACCAAAACTTGTGGAGGTCTTGACATACCCTGTCAACACCGCGTGTTCATTTTTGTGGTACGTGACTCCACTAAAACAAGCATTACTTACTGTCTGACTTGGATTGATGCTAGGTTTCTATTTTTTCTTTCTCTCCTGGAAGAGTGTGATTTTTCTTCAAAGTCTGCAGAGCAGAGTACTGCAACAGTTCAGGTATTCAACAACAGACAAACTGAATTATAAAAGAAACCGGAAAATCCGCAGAGATCTTTGACCACATTAGTGTAGTTTAAGAAAGGCCTCAAAAAGAAAAAAAAATAGAGCCAGGGATT